CCCGCCCGCATGCAGCACCCCAGGCCCCCCACACAGGGTCTCCTGCTGCCCGGGGGGGGGCAGGGTGCGAGGAAGGTGAGCGGTGGTGGGAGGAAAGGCTTGGTCTCCCCCAGCATCTCCTGGGGAGCAAGAGCTGATCTTTGCCGGCTGGGAGACGCCGCCCTGCCTTCTCATGGCCGTACCTTCTGGCATTGCCCCCCTCTCGGGAATCTCCGCTCTAGGACGGACTGTATTCTTCTCTATCGGCCATGGAGCCTCCGGCCTTCCGCTGTTCTAGATGTGCCAGAGGACTTGGCCACCAGGGCCCCGCGTGCACTGATTGCCCTTAATTGCCCTGACCAGCCTCACCTGCAGCCCCCACCTGCCCTCCCTCTGCCCTGAGCTGGGGTCTATTTAAATGCTGGCCCAGACCCTCAGTCCTGGTTTGAGCTATGGAGGTGCCTGAGGCTCTGTCTGCCCCCATCAGACCAGGCTCGTTTGTTGGAATCCCCTTGTTGGCCCGGGACCTGGCTCGCCACCTTGCCTTGGCCTGATGGCCACTGTTGGTGGCACTGTGACTGACTTGTCCCCGCTGCCGCCGGTGCGGCCTCGCTCCCAGCCGGCGTGGTGGTCACCCTCAGCTCACAGCTCGTCTCCCCCTGCGAAGCAGCTCTGCTCTCCCTGCTCCCTGGCAACGCGTCTCGGCTCATCTTGCCTTCCTCTTGTCCAGCCCTGCTTCCCCGGCAGCCATGCCGACGTTTGCCTGGGTGCAGCCGATTTCCCCACGTGCCAGAGGAAACAGAACGGTCCCGATGCTGAGATGGCTCCCACCGCGTCTTCCGGGCCTCTCGGGCTGTAACGCAGAGCCCACTGGAGACAGCGTGAGCATCTCCCACGGCTTCCGGAGCCACGATCTTTGCTTCCTCGCTGCTGAAGGAAACGTGGAGCAGCGGCGGTCACGCTGCCTGCCACCCCGTGCTGCTCAATGGTGGTGGGAGCCGCTTGTGTAGGGGAGCGCTGCGGGGGCAGCCCCCGCTCAGCCCTCTCTGCAGCAGGACTGGCCCGGGAGGATCAACAGGCATCGCCTCCGCCGGCAAGCGCTTCCCTGCCGCTGCCTGGCACGGGCTGGCTACGGGAAATTCAGCCAGGTAAGGCCCCTGCGCATCGCTCCGCGCCACGATACACAGCCCGAGTGCCTCGTGGCCCTTCCGCCTGTGGCCTCGAGTATGCCACCCGTCCCCTCCAGCCCAGGCCCGGCGGGCTCCCCCCCCAGGCAGAGGCAGCAGCTCAGAGCTGTGCTGGAGGGGCCGGCAGATGCCCAGCACCATGCACAGGAGCAGACCCTCAGCCAGCCTCTCCCGGGGCTTGCC